TATGCAGCAGTTTTTCATTCATACTATTTTCACAATTGCTATTCAGACTAAACATTGTAATCTGAAGATCAAACTGCGGTATTCCCTCCTTATAATTGAGCTTTTTACGCGTCGTAATTATAACAAGTAGTAAACACAATTCTGCCACGGTTTCATTGGCTGAGAACTTATCCTATCCCGTTCTATCTGTAGTCGTAGCATAGCGCAATTGCCACGGAAACCCAGCCCACTTAATAAGCTGATTATTCAATAGCAATCATTTACAGCACCAGCGTATCACAAGTAAATGCACTACTTAGAATTTTTTAAATCTTTTTCCCTATTTTAGTCATATTTAATGTTCCTCGCCTTTCTTTGTATGATAATATCACTAGAAACGTAAAATAACTGTGATTTCACTCGTTGTGAAATAAATCACTTCAGTCTTTTATCTATCCTTACAGAAATCGTTCAGTTAACAAATTAAGCAAACAACAATTCAACAAATTTTCATCACTGGGATTGGAATAATAAAATCTTATTGCATTGAACATATTACGCTTCATGTAATTAGGGCCTAATTATTAGGAACTACTATACATTGTTATTATAAGGTTCACAAACACTGTAGATGTTTATGCAAATATAAACTTCTATGAGTTATTTTCTAGAATTTAAAATCGACACAATATTTCTTGTTATATTCTACGACAATTTTGAAACACGTTTTGAAACAGAACGAAGATCTCGTGTAACTTTATCAACAGTTCCACTGTACCGGGGCTTAGAAGATACACTATAAACGCGTAAGACCTGCAGACTAATTATGACTAAACTTGAAAGTTCACTTACTGATTCAAACCAAGTTTTAATTGGTCCCCAGCATTCCGTAAGAGTGCATGCGCTTCGCTGTTTGTTAGATCCCGGGTGCTTCTTCCGTTAATACTACTAATTAAATCACCCTCTCTCACGCCCTGTTGAGCCGCTTTACTACCGGGATTAACCTGCAATGAAAAATCAGATTCCTTTCTCAGTTACGGTACAAATTTCATTTACCTTAGATTCTGCGTAACTTAAATCGCGTTTGCATCGGTGAAACTTTATCGGTGTAGTAACTGTACGAAAACAGAACTAGTTCATCAATTGATTAATATTATGAAAATCAAGAATTCCTTTTTTTTTTAATTAAATGTAAAAGAAGAGATGGTAAACATTATGATGGATCGTAATTGAAGCAGTGTCTCTTTACTTTTTACGTGACTACTAGGTATTCCGCTATCTGACAGTTGACAAAAAATTTCTGTAAAAATGTTTTTATTGCGCAAAACCAAATGAGATTACTGGTATTTGTACTTTATATCCTACATAATCTTCCCGGACAGCTGTACACTTTCGCAAATGATCGTAAAGCCACAGAACATATTCCTGGAAATCGTTTGCCACCACTTCTTTCGACTTTTTAGACCTATTTCGATATGAATGATACATACGGACTATCTCATTAGTATGGTTAATCAACGTGTCAATTTAATATGTGCGCTTTATAATCGCAGGAGATTAGATATGACTTGTTCCCTTCTACGACTCACAATTAAAACAACAAAACCCAGGTGACAAAAACATTTTTTACAAACATTCGTAAAAGTACAGTAGATATCTATATAAATGCGCCATTTCAATAGAACTATTTAAACTTAATACTTGACACAAGTAAATGTAACGAAAACAAAGTTTACGTTCCTTTCCTATTCAATTCATATTCTAATTTAATACTTTTCTTTACTTGTGATTTACACAATATAAATGCCATATTCCCATATTTCCTTTTGCGAAATATTAATGTGAATATTATAGATCAGGTTAAATGTTGTAGATTAATTCTGTTTTAATCTTAATTCGTTTAATTTGTTCTAATGGAATTAAAGTTAGAACACCTTTCGTTAAAGTGTTTTTACTGTACGAATATTTCTGTCCGCTACTATATAATGGACTGAACTCTATTCATGCATGCAGAGAATGCACAATAGAGGGGGGGAGAGAGAGAGAGAGAGAGAGAGCAAAGTAAGATGGTCAAAGTAAGTAACATATGCAACAGGGATTGTGTGTACGTTCATGGACTGTCTCTGGAGGTTCCTAAACATTTCGCTCAAGATTCTCACCGTGTACTTTCGCTGCCCTGTCGCTCGGAACTTCAACATGTTGGAAACTTCCTTGGTGTTCCCTGAGTTGTCGATATGTCAACAAGAACGACAATGAGAGTTGATCGACCCTCACTTGAACGCGTTTTCGAAACTCGGAACTTTTCGTCTAATAGAGGGAAACGTGTTCAACAATCACTACGAAGGATGTTATTGTGGAACAAGTTTAAAGTAAATGACGGATACGTTCATAAAAGTATCGTTGAAATTTTAATCTTTTCAGAATGCACGATTTTAGTCGCAACTTGGTTTCCTTTGTGTATTCATATATTATAATATAATTTTTATATTAATAGCAGGGTAAAATATAGTAAAAGTAAAGTTTGTATTAGTTCGTGAGTTCTAGTTTTATAGTCCTGGTTGATGGAACTTAACATTCAATTAATAATAATTGAAATGTAAAAGATATCATAGTATGTATTTTCATGTGCAATTTAAGGTAATAGTAGAATCTGCGCCATAGTAATTTACCAACGGAAACTGATGGTAATGAAGTACTCTACATTTGAGAAGCGCAGCTAATCGCGAAACTACGACTGGTCTTACAATATTATCGACGAAGGGCCAAACACTTTAATAGAAACTTTATAAAACAGTTTCCATCGTCAAAAATATCATGAAAAAGACTTGAAAAAAAATGAAAAATTTTTTCTATTTAGACAATAATAATGTGAAAACGAATCAAATGGAAAGTTAACAATAACATTCAAAATTAATTCGTCACACTACGAACAGCGCGAAAATCTAATCATTTATTTGACTTAATGATTAAAAAGATTGTTATTTATTTTGTGAATCTGTGTTTCCTTTAATTCCATCTTCTCCAAAATGATCTATGAATGTGTACCTTATTAATTGCCAAACTTAATCGGAATTTGCGTAGAATCATTTATAACAAATAAACTCCGCGCCAGTGATTGAAACTTCAGTTGAATCGTCTTTAGACCCCATAACAACTGCTCATCCGACATGTGGCGAATGTCTCGGGGTTAAATGGGATCAGTAGCGTATTGTTACTACTTGCTGTTAATTACCCGAAGCCCTATCAATTGTACGATTCGTCGATCTCACCGTGAATTAATTCAATTTAGACGAGACGAGTATCAAGCCGACCACTGAGCACATTGTCCACTGTCTAACAAGCGACTCAGGCGATATTCCATCTCCATCGAGAACCATGGAAACGCCCACCTGCATTATCGGCAACGGAGAGAAATAGAAAAAAATCAAATTTGACGAGAAGCAGATGTTGCATCTCATCGATAAACGACAGGCACGTCGGAAAGCGGTGTCACGCTTAACGAGATTCCATTAACGAGCGACTATCGCTGTTTAATTCCCTATAGCCGGAGATTATTCTTCTCCTCTTTTTAGAAGACGAAACGAGAAGATAAAAATTGCGCCGAACTTAGAAATCAATTATTTGTTAACACATTGCGTACCGATTAATTCTTAAAAAAATGGCCGATTTTTCAATGAGATCAACTTCATCACAAGTTCGTGATATATCACTGTATGCAAAGTATTCTAATATCTTATTACTTTTTCATAAGTATTAAACAAGTAATCAGTTCTAATAACATTTAATACCTTTTTAAATGGTGTGGTAGTTAACAAAGTTACGAAGGTAGGTTTAAATAAAAACGAGATTTCCGGTTTCCCGTACGCAGTGTGCTAAGAGACATTTTCTTAGCCTTTCATCGTGTGTTCCTCAGAAATATTTTTATTATTGAAATTCGAGGAAGAAATCCAAATGACATCCTGTAAATGAAACCAATATAGCTGTTGTCTAAGTTTTCAAGTAAGACAGTAAAAAATAACCAAAATCCTTATTGGAGATACGAAACTGCCATTTTTGAAATTATATAATAAATAAACAATAAGGAAATAATTAGAAAATATTGTTGCAATGTCGAGCACGATATGCTTAAAATACAACAGCCTTCCAAAAAGTACTTAAAGGTGTTGATAACGTAATCAGACTATGCTTTAGGGATCTTACTGGAAGAGGCTGGAGAAAAGCGTTAATGGCGCCCATACACAAGGACGGCAATATGGAAGAGGCTGCGAAGATAACACTTTTAAGTGCAACTTGTAAAATTTATGCCACCATTAGAAGATTAGAACTGAATATCATCACGAAATGTATCAGAGAAGCAGACAGAAATGGTAACGGATACAAATTTTCTCTGAACGTCGCGCCACAATTGCGCGCCTTGCAGCATTGTAACCTTAATAAAATGAATGTTTTAGTTGAAAAGTACCTCTTTAGTATCACAGCATCGTTGTTCTTCTGCTCTAAGTTCATGTGACTATTTTCTTTCCTGAGTAATAAAAAATGAACTTCGCGATCGCTTGTTTCACTGCCATTATTAACGGTATCAGAATTAATGGAATTTCGTTCGACCGGAAGTCACTAATTCAAATCAGCAATCCAAATGAATCGATTACCGACAGAATAGTAACGTACGCGTGGCGCTTGTGTTCCGCGCCACAAAACTTCGTATCATAGATGGCAATGCTGTTTTTCCATAGCGTCCCTCAAGAAATCAGAACGGGGTGGATAGGTGTTATTTCGTAAATAACGGTAAACGTAATTACAGATGGAACAATCCGAATAATTCCTGGTCTCTCCCATCTCGTGAATTAAGGAGATATAAGTGCCTGAGATACGTTTAACCGACACGAATGAATGTAGTACATACAACAGCTGCAATCTACGCGTGCATTACCTGTCCGATACCGAGGTACAAGCTTCTGGTGAATCAACATTGGTAAGTGTGAATTGTTTCCAGAATCCTACCGGTTCTGTAGGATGATATACCAGTCGTATGCAACTCGCAAGTGTAGTTGGCATGACAGGTGTGAACAGCTTGCCTTGCGGTGCAGACTACCATTGTTAGCACAGTGATCCAAGGATTCAGGAATGTGTTTCTATGATCATGATCCTACTTTATTAGAGACTGAGTAGGATACATGCAGTCATGTAGCATACTCCTTGTAGGATTAAGAGGCATTAGAGAATAATCTCCTTTACAAGTGTTTATAATCCCTTGTGGGTAGCCAAATATGTGAAGATATGTTTTTAAATTTATTTAAATTATGATCAAAATCCTTGATACCGGTGAACCAATCAATGTAACCCTAAGATTTTACTGCTACACTAGATGCTTCACTGCATCCTATGAAAGCTGTTTAATGAAACAGATACATCTTGTTCCAAAAGAACTAGGAGACTTGCTCCTTTTTTTCATACCGAATTTTAAATCTTATATTGCAACTAATATTAAATATATATTTTTATTGTCATCTCTTTACTATATACATTTTATTATATATAAGTAAATTATTACATAAAAAGGAAGGCAGATAAATAACTAAACAAACTAAGAACACTGAAAACCAGAACTGCCTACTAAAAGAAAGCTAAAACCCTCAAGTAAAATTGTACAAGTTTCTCCTTTCAAGGAAAACACAGTACAGCGCATTACTGAACCATGCTGTATACACTAACACCAACAATTTCCTCTGCATACATTGCAACGCTAGCCAAACAAAACATACGAAACATACTGCAAATCACGTTGAGAACCGTGCCATAAATAAACAAAGAGCATCTCCTTAAATTTCACAGCCCCTATCAAATTGTACCCTTTCGGCGACGTATTTCTATCAAATCCCACACGTTTCTCTACGCTCAAGGTGTCTCAATCATGCCGTCCGTCTGGAACCGTTCCCGATCATCCCACATTTTTTCACACTATCGTTAGAGTGACCTTCGACTGACGAGCTTGAGGAAAACGTAG